CCATTGATATGTTGAGCGATCTGATAATGACAACACAGAGGAATAAACACATCCTAGTAATGGTGGATATTTTTAAAATATGTCAAATTGTACCCATGTAGAACCACGAGGGGAGTCGAAATACTTCGGAAAATTGACGATTTTATAGGAACAGTGGGCAGACCAGACAACATCTTATTGGATAATGCGACATATTTTAGAAATGAACGTTTTAAACGGGAGTTAAGAGAAAGAGGTGTGATTACGAAATTTATAAACATCCGCCATTCACAGAGTAACCCATCGGAGCGTTTTATACAGGAAGTCACTAAATTTCTACGAATTGCAGCTGAAGAATTCCATCGACATTGAGACATATTTGAACGCTGCACCAAACACGGTTACTGAAGAGACGCCATTATATGTCATAAAAGGAACCATACCTATAAGACCGTGGGAAGACACCGCCCCCAGACAATATGAAGAAGTGATCGAGGTGGTTCAAAGAAGATTAACAAAAAGTGGAGAAAAATATCTCCAAAAGCAAGAGAGGAACCGAAGAAGAAGGTCGATTATTTTCCAGAAAGGGGATAAACTTTTAGTGAGGGCACTGTATCGAATTTACAAAATGGTGTGTGTGCAAAATTGATGCCAGTATTTGAAGGTCCATGTAGGGTAAATACGAAAAATGGGATAAACAGATATAAATTAGCGCACATAGAAATAGGAAATATACGGGGTATTTTTAACATTCACGACATTTATCGATAATATGAGTAAATTTCGATAACATATTGTAATAATTTGACACTTGAAAAACTTTTGTCATTTTATACAAAAAAATGATAAAGAGTTTTTCGGCGAATCAAATAGCGGGAAGTTGTTATGGTATTCAAAATTGAAGAGTAAAGATATTAAATGTACGATGAAATCAATATTTCAGAGATTATAGAAAGTAAAAATACTTCGAACTGCCTGGAATTAACCGAAGGTAATCTTAGTCATAAATAATCTTTTGTATAAACATAACAAGTGGACAGTGCGGGTACAATGAATAGAAGTTTCCGATGGTTTTTTCCCATAAGCCATAAAGTGTTCCGTAATCCAGGTTTGCACCATGAACAGGACAATAAAAATAGTTAATAAGTAAATGGGTTTTCGGAATCTGTAAATACCGAGTAGAAATTAAGTGTCCTTGTAGAAATAATATGAATTAGGAAAGTTTGTAGGTATTTCTGATTTTATTGGGGAGTGGTATGCAAATTTCTGATTGGCCGACAAAATGAAAAGTGGTGAGATGGGTGTGTATAATGAGAGGTTGGATGGATGGGTAGATCAGATGAGATAGTTAGTTAGTTCCAGTTTCTTAAAGTGAATGGTTGGTTTTCGAGTTGGTCTCCAGGGGTAGTAAGTGATGAAGAATAAGTTGTGAGTTGGTGAAGTAAGTGTGTCCAACTGTAGCTGATCTGGTACAAATTTGTAAGTAAACTTTTCCTACTTGTATTCTACGTATCGCTGTCTATTTCGGAACGAGAGATTAAGTTTGGCGAGATGAAAACAGTCTGGCACCATTGGAAAGGTACGTGTATTCGAAGGAGAGCTTTAAAGACACTAAATTGCAATATCTTGTTTAATATTGCCAATTACATAGGAGCCTGCTGAGAACTGATAGTTTATTTTGAATAGAACGTGGAATTAGACAACTCAAGGCAGATGAAGCGTTTCAACGGGAGAAACATTCATAATTAATTTCAGTTTGAGAATTTTGGGTCAAATAATATTATATCATATTAGTAACATGTGAATAAGCTGTTGATAGTCGAAGGATATCAAATTTATTCTGAGAGGGGACGAAGCTGTGAAGAGAATTGTAGAATTCATACAAATTTTTCTTGGTACAATCGATATACCAAAATTGCATTAGGAAGGACACTGAATATTACTTGATTTGTTTATGTAGATTAATAAGCTCGATTTGCTGATTAATTATATTATATTATCCATGCATTTTTGAAGATTCACGTACGTAGAACGATTTTTATTTGATGCTAATTGTATGCTAATAATTTTTGGAGGTATTTTAATCAGTTTATTTTGTTACATTATTTTCATATCCTATTATATTGTTTTATTCCGTTATTCTTTGGACCTAACCCATTAGATGTAGAGTTTAGATATTAAAGCAAGAGTAAAACAAAATTGAAAGGCGTGATATAACACATAAATAAAACATTTGGCCAAATATATGGCCTAGGAGGACAAATTAGTTAAACTTCCCGTGCTCGAATCGGTATCACTAAAGTGTTATAATCATTTCGGCCTATCCCAGCCATCGTCAGACACTTGGGCTGATACAAATTCAAACACGTAAAGTAGAACGAATGTCTCCTAAAGCTTCACCACTGCAGTGGTTTGCGAGCAGAGGCGCCACCTGCTTTGGCGGCCGTGAACGAAAACGATATAATCACATCACATTTCGCATAGCCCAGAGATAGAAAACGATATATATATATATATATAT